AAGTGTGTCAGAGATTGTGACATTGGCTTAGGATAAAGAAAGGCTCAGACCTATTGTTCATAGGGTCATGATGAGTTGTAGTTGACTGTAGGGTACATAACAACAACAACAACAATAACAACAACACGCTATTAGTGTTTGAAAATTTTGTACATGGATGTCATTACCATAGAGTTGGTTTCAACTCATAGAGAAATCACATGTGTGAGAAGGAGAAAAGGTTTCCAAAGCTATGTTTGAAGCAACTCCTAGGCATTTCTCCTAAGATGAGTTAGAATCACCAACCTTTTAGCCAGTAGGCTAGTGCTTAACAGTCTGTGCCCCTCAATGACTCATAAAGAACAGTCCAGAGTCCAGAGAAAATGATATTTTGACATTTCTTCTGTCATTATTTTTAAACTGATTATAAAGTACCACGAGCTAATTGAAAAAAAAAAAGATTAAAACTATGAAAAGATTACAGAAGACAACAATTATCTCTAGTCCATCTGTTAAAATCACTACAGAAGTTAGCGTTTGGATTGTTTTGTTGTTTTTTCAGTCTACTTGCTGTTGTTGTTGTTGTTGTTATGTGCTGTTAAGTTGCGTGAAACTCATAGCAACCCTATATACAACAGCTCATTAAACCCTTCTCTATCCTGTGCCAATCTTATTGTCTCTGACACAACTACCCCCATTACCTCAGTAACTGAATCAATCCATCTTATTGACGGTCTTCTTCTCTTGTGCTGTCCCTCCACCCTCTGAAGCATGACTCCCCTCTCCAAGGACTGATCCCACCTTGTAACATGTCCAAAGCATGTCAGGTGAAGCTTCAGAATGCTAAGTAACATTCACATTGTTGAGGTAACATGACCATAGAGTTTGTCTTTCAGTATAGCTTTTCTAGCATTGTTTGAACATGGATGGATGAGTAGGACTATGTGAGTGGGGTGTGTTAGCCTATCCACAAGAGGACTGGCTATCTACCATTCCATCAGAGGGTTGAATAGTCTCAACAATCTACAAGGGAACTGGCTTGTCTTATCAATAAACTTAACAGCTCTAGCTGCAGAGACAAGTATTCCACCACCAGAAGAGGAAAGAGATTTCCTCCACTCCAGTGGGGGAAAAAAGCAGAAAAATATAAGACATGCTTGCAGACAGCAGTAGTTGTCATGGTCAGACATGAGATGAGATGAGATGGGATGAGACTTTAGAGGGTAGGGGGAAGCCCATAGTGGCAAGACTGACAACTTCGTTGCACAACTGGGGGATAGCCAATATTGGCAGGACTGAGAACTTGGGACTCCTTAGAGCTGTGAGGCTCAAGGCTGAGGTGCCTGCATGCACATTTTGGGATCTGTCTTGACTATATACTGTTATTAATCTGGACTGTAACCTTTTGACTTCCCCAATATGGTTCTGTGTGAACCCATATCTATCAAATCACATTTTTAATCCAGCAAAGCAGTAAGACCCTCAATCAGATGGATTGACACGGTGTCTGCTACAATGGGCTCTTGTGTGTCAGGAAGTGTGAGGACGGTGCAAGATAGAATAGGGTTCAGATCTTTTGTTCATAGAGTTGCTATGGGTTGTACTCAACTTGACAAAACCTAACAACATCAACAATAAAGCAGTAAGATTAGTGTTGAGATGAGTAGAAAGAGGTACAGGAACACGAGGGATATGTAATCTCACTGGTATAGGTTTTGTGTTATTGATGCTGTGGATGCTGATAAAGGTCAGGCATGATTGTCCTCACATGGCCCTTGCTTTTTATAATGACTTATATATCCATATCTAAAGCTGCACACAATGTACACAGGGTGACCATTCTCTTTTACCATATGTTCTCAAAGGTAGTTAGGTGCCCTGGAGTCGAGTAGTGACTCTATGAACAATAGATGGGAACTGTGTCCTATCCTGCACCATCCTTATCATTCCTGACACACTTGAGGCCACTGTCACAGCCACTGTATCAATCCAGTTCCTTGAAGGACTTCCTCTCTTTAATCTTCCTCATTACCTTTATTAGTTAGCAAATACTCTCTTAAGAATGTTCTGTTGATTACTTAACCATTCTCACCTATTTAACATACATTATTTAACAATATAAAATTGTAATACACATTATTATTCAACATTTTTGGCCATATTCTTATTATTTCAATAGAATTATAGGTAGAAGTTAAACTATGGCATTATGAAGTAGTTTTTTTAAGGCTTTTTTAAAAATAAATACTCTTTTCCTCTCTCCCCACCAATAAAGCTCACTTCTGTTATGCATGAAAATGCAGGTCACTGTTCTCAGCTTCATTGTTAGCTCTTGTTTTATTTCAGTGATTAATATTTTGTATTTTTCTAACTTTTTCATATTTATTATTTGTATTTATTCTTGGTGTTCAATAAAAATACACTTTTTTGTGATTTTTCCATTGCATTTAATATCCTGGAGAATTGAATAACCTTTCCCCAAAGCTCTGCCTTCAACTTGAACAGAATCTAGAAGTTGTTATTGTTGTTAGATGCTGTCAAATTGAGTACGACCTATAGCGACCTACAGGTCTGAACCCTGTCCTATTCACTGCGATCCTTCCACTTTCTGACACATTAGAGAGTCCATTGTGGCAATCACCTTGTCAATCTATCTGGTTGAGATCTTCCTCTCCTTTGCTGACACTTTTAGGAGTATCATCTCTCTCTCAAAGGAATAGCCTCTTCCTAGCAACATGATATAGCAGTATGTATAAAAGTATAACTATTACATTCAGTTATTCTAATTAAATATTTCCAATCAATTATAGATTCAACCATCTGCGGCTTTTTTGTGATAAAAGTTATTTTCAAAGGCTTCTTAGTATGGATAATATGGTAGTTCATATTTGTAAAGGAGCTTATAATTCATTAAACTTCTTAGCATCCATTATCATTATTGCCCCATGAGTTTATAAAAGAAGTAGTGCCATTAAGCATTCTTTAGCATTGTAGTTACAGCCGTGAACAGAGCCCAAGTGTTACTTGGGAAGTAAAGCCAATAGACCAAATTTTCAATTCCTAAACCCTGTACTTTCCTTTCAGCCAGATTTCGAAAATTCTGTGTCCAGAAATATAAAATGACTCACCATGAGATAAGTTAGACTAAATTTAAGGAGGTTGGGAGCGTATTAATATACTATATTTTTAGAATGAGAATGGTTAGATCAGAAGTTTTTCATTTCAGCCAAACATCATTCTTAAGTGTTCAATGTCTAAATACAAACATGCAGCAAAATAATTGGACCAGCTGCACTTTCACACGGAGCTTTAATTAACGAATATATGAAAGAGGGGAGTAATGACAATCAAATGCAAGACTATTTTAATCCATCTCAAAAGTCCTCGCCATGTCAGTACCCTGATAAACGTTCAAATAAATGCCACCCCCTTTAACAACATCAGAAAAGATAGTTGTTGGGTGGTGGTTTGTTTTTTTTTTTACCCTTCATCGAAAAAAGGAAGCATACATTTATATCTTCCACGATTTTCAAGAACTAAGAGATCATGTTGTTTTTTCATTGTGCTACCTGAAAATGGTCTTTTTAAATACGCACAGCCTTGCAGAAAACTCATTCGTTTGCCACAAGGACCCAAGAAAAAATCAGCTCCTCTTGCCTTGTTAGACTTTGCCATAATTACACATGGATGGTTTCCCAAGGAGTGGTTTTTATTCAGATGAATTTACTGTTTCTGAAGACGTTATGGTAATGAAGGGTGGGCCTCTACAGGTTCAACGGAAGGAAGATGCGCTTCAAAGAAGAAAGCTGGAGGCAGGAGGATGCCTGCACCCTGCCAGGACCCAGTATCCCCTGGCAGGCCAGAAGGGTAACTTCTGCTCTGGCCAATGTAACCACCGCTCTGCGCAAACGCACAACGTTCCTCCTGCCTCCCTACACCTGCCAGGTCACAAACCCCTTCCTACCGCTTCCCGCTCCACCCTGGAGGCTCAGTCTTGTCTCAAGTTCATTGGTCAGAATCCCAGGAGGGCGCGTCCAATCAACAATCCCTACTGCGCCACCTAGTGCGGCTCTCCCCTCCCCCAGCCCTCCTCGTCCCGCCACTCGCGGTACCTTCTTTGTGACTGGTGCGCGCACAGGTCACTCAGTGTGGCACGGCACCGCGGAGCCGCGCGGGCGGGAGCGGCGGGGAAGGACGAAGGTGGGGGGCGGGGCTCAGGTGCTGTGGGCTCGGCCTGGGCGGGGACGGGGGCGCGCGCGCCGGGGAAGGTGGGGGCGGCGGCGAGGAGGCTACGCCGCGACGTCGGCTGCGCGAGGTTGGGCGCGTGAGCGGCGCGGGCGCGGGGCCTGGCTACCCAGCTTTCCCGGCGTGTGTGCAGGTCGTCGACGCTGGCTGCTGGCGGAGCGCGCGGACGGGGACGGGCCTGGTGTCTGCAGCGTGCGTAGTCGACGGCGGCCCTGGCCATGGAAGAGACGCAGCCGCTTCCGCAGCCCGAGCTGGCGCTCTGCGACAGCCTCATGATCTGGGTGAGTGTGCGGGGAGCGCGGGCGAGTGCGGGGCCGAGGGGCGCGCCGCCGGAGCCAGAGGAGGTGCTCGAGCCCCGAAGCAGCTGGAGGAGGTGCTCGCGCCCCGTGGGAGCCGGTGGAGGTGCTCGGGTCCCAGGGGAGCCGGAGGAGGTGCTCGGACCCCTTGGGAGCCAGAGGAGGTACTCGGGCCCCGAAGCAGCTGGAGGAGGTGCTCGGGCCCCGTGGAAGCCGGTGGAGGTGCTCGGGTCCCGGGGCAGTCCCGGGCCGCCCTGCCCTCGCGCTTCTTGCCCTTGGCACCTTGCGGGTCGTGATCTGTGCGTTGGTGGAGCCTCCGACCTGCGTCATGCCTGTAACCTTTTCCTTCCAGACCCCTATGATCTACCAGATCCTGCCCCCAAACTACACTTTTCAGTTCATCGATTCTCTCTCGCCTTCCATCTGCTCAACCCCCCAAACAAAACACTATCTTTCTTGTCCATTCCGACCTATGGAGACATAGGTAAGACATTGAAATGCACGGGAGGTTTTACATACTCATTGATTATCTTAAACCTTTTTTAAACTCCCTGCTGTCGAGTTGAGTCCGATTCATAGGGACCTTCCATAGGATTTCAAGACTACAAATCCTTATGAAAGCAGACCACAACATATTTCTCCCGGAGAGTCGCTGGTGGATTCAAACCACTAACTTTTTTGGTAGCAGCAATTGCTTTAATTGCTACAGCCAGGGCACCTTATCTCCTGAACAGTTCTCCTGCAAGGGGGCTTTTGTGCTTTTTGGGAGGGGAAGACTCCCTACCCCATTGATCACTCCCTTTCTTTCAGTGATCATCATACTTTGCTCTTGAGGTGGACACAGGTGATCAAGAAGGGAGCCGATTTTATTTTATTTCCTGGATTGGTGTGTTTTCAGTACCCTTAATTTCTGGTCTGGGAGAAACCGCTTCTAAGACATACTTCCATGCGTTTCTTGTGTAAAGAAAAAGATACTAGAGTTGGGGGGTGGGTGTGTGTCGTGTTTTCTCTTTGGTCTGTCATTTCCTCTAAATGGGCAAGTAAAGCAAAACAGTTGGCGTTTTTGTTTACCCTTTACGATTCTGTTAATTTGCACTGAGTTTGGATAGCCAGAATGTATTCTCAGATTCATCAGTCATTAAAGTGATCAACAAAATGTTTCACCCCTCCAGGTTTCTCGGATATCAACAAGGTAGCATAAGGTTGAGGGTATCAGGCTGCCATGCTAACTGAAATGTGTACAGTTTGAAACCACCATTTGTTCTTAGGAGAAAGATGAGTCTTCTCCATAAGAAATGAAAGACTCAGAAACCCCGTGGATGGTGTTTTTGAATGGGAACCAACTTGACAGCAATGAGGGAGGTTTTTTGAGTTGACATTCACATGTGGTGTTGGTTGTCGTGTACCATCAAGTTGGAACCAACCCGTAACTGACCCTCCAATCGGTTTACAGAGGCAATTAATACCACAGGAGGGGACAGCCCATCCTTCTCCCACAGAGCAGCTGCAGGATTTGAACTATGTGCCTAACCCATATTGAGCAAGGTTGGTGCTCCATTCCCAAGCAGGTTGTTCATTTGTGTCAACGGGAGTGTGTGCAAAATGGAATCTAAACAAACTGGATCGGGAAGTTGTAATTGGTTGTGTATGATTCAAAAGAATGAGAAATTGAGGAAGTTTATGAAATCTGTTGGAAATAATCATAAAATAAAGCAACACAAACATTTTAAAGGTAAATAGAATTAATTTTAAGAGGATTGTAGATGTCTAGGCTTTCCAAGTTCCATGTGGTTAGTTTTTTTGTATGCTCATTTAAAATTAGTATTGGAATTTAGAAGCTGTATTTAAGACTGTCAAGAAACAAGGCAGCATTACTGTTAATGATCTGTTTTGTTGCAACCAGTGGCTAATTAAAGGGTGTATCCTAATTTGTTACATTGTTTCTCTAAACATCTGATGGAAGTAGTAGCCTTGGTCTTTATGATGTCATAGGCTTACATGTGAACTGATGGAGAAGCACATGATTTTCTTGAATTATCCAAGGGAGAAAGATAGACAGTCTCCTCCCGTGCAGTTTACAGCCTTGGGAACTAGGGTCGGCTATGCAGTGCATTTTTGGGGGGTTGTTTTAAGTTTGGTTTTAAAAATATGTGACGTTATTCTTTAAACTGATATTTATTGATTCCATGCTTTGCGTTAGGCACAAAGTATGATAAATACCAGTGAGAATAAAAGTGTTCCATTTCAGTTGGAATAGTAGGCAGAAAAATGTAGTTACAATGAAAAACAAAATACATTAAAAGGAGTAAAAGAATTATAAACTGAGTGAACAAGAACCATTAGTGATAAAACTGAGTTTGCTGTCGGGTCCTCTCCCAGGCTGCTGAGCAGTGTGGAGAAAGTGAATGGCTGAATACTTCTGTCTCTCTGAACATGACAGCCAAATCTCACTGTTTCTTTCCACTGCTTCCAACTCTGAAGAAGAGTGTCTAGTTAGTTCTCTCCTTTGTGTTAGCAACCTCAATCAATACTCCATTTGAGACATCAGCTCTTCATCTTTTTTTAAAATAAAATTTTTATTTTATACTGGTTTACTTACAAAGTTTGGATATATTGTTTTTCACACAAGATCTGTCCCATATCCTTTACCCACCTTGCCCTCCATGCATCAAATTTGTGTGACCCTATGATTATTTCCCCCCTCCCCGCCCCACCATTTTGACCCCTCTGCTCCCCACTCCCTTAGATCCTCATACACATCCTACAATAATGGTATTATACAGTATTTGTCCTTATGGGATTGAGCTAGTTCACTTAGCATAATGCTGTCCAGTCCCTCCCAAGTTAGGTAGTAATATACAAAATCATTGCTCTGTGGGCCGCATAATATTTCATCATGTGATTGTACCATGATTTCTTAATCCATTCCATTGTGATTAGATATTTGGACTGTTTCTATATTTTTGCGATGGTGAATAATAGTGCTATCAGCATTGGTGTACAAGTCTCCATTTCTGCTTCAGTTCTCATTTTCTCAGGGTATATTAGTTCAACTTTAGACAAACGATCCCCTCTACCTTCTTACTTCTGGTTCTGACTTTAGACCCCAGTCCCTCTATTTCCAATATATTTTGTTTTATCATTCATCATTTTTCTTGATTTGTAAATTCTTCTGTCTACATCTAAACATTATGAGTCCCTGTATGATGCACATAGGGACCTCTGGTGGCCTAGAGCTAAGAAGCTGCACTGCAATCTCAAAGATACATGATTTAAATTGACTAGTTATTTTGCGGGACAAGGATGGGCAGTCTCCTTCCTTGTGATCTACTGCCTCTGAAAACCTGCTGGAGGGTCAGCTATGGGTCATATCTGACTTGATCGCATTCAGCAACAACAGCATGATACACAAAATTAATTGCCAAACTGAGTGGTACCTATAGGTACCTCAGAAGTCAGAGCTGGCAGTCAGCTTTTCAAAGGTGGTTTGATGTGGTAGTGGTTGTTACTCCTATGTGCTATCGAGTTGGTATTACTCTTTAGCGACCATGTGAACAATAGCTTTGAACCCTGCTCTTTCTTGAGCCAATCTCACTATATCTGATACACCTACCCCCATTGGCACTGTCACTGTGTCAATCTACCTCATTCAGAGGCTTCCTCTCCTGTGCTGTCCCTCCACCCATCCAAGTATGGCGTCATTCTCCGAAGACAAATCCCTCCTGGCAGCATGCATAAAGTATGTCAAAGAGACCTTCAAAATCCTTGCCTCCAAGGAGCAGCTTGGTTTAACCGTCTCCACGATGGACCTTTTTGCTCCCTTAGTAGTATATAGTATATTCAGTACTCTTCTCCAGCACCACAAGTCAGTTCTTCTAGCAACTTAAATCATTGTCCACCTCCCTGATGCATAGCAAGTAATTGTGAAGATCATGGCTTGAATCAGTCTCACCTTAGTCTTTAGATCGACATTATTTCTCTTTAGTACTTTGGAGGAGTCCCTAATAGCAGATTTTCCCAGTGCAGTTCGTCTTTTTTTTTTTTAAATTTTTATTTTATTATTTTTGTGTAAGTGTACCG